CATGCGTCGTGCGTGGACCTCAGCCCAGTTGTTCTCTCGCTCGTCTTCGGAGGGCTTGCTAGGAGTTTGGGAGGTGAACAAGTTCCGGTAGTATTGGGCAGCATAATCGGTTATGGAGTATGCATTAGTTGCACGTTGGGCAGTGTCATCCAGGGGATGCCTGAATGCAGGAACAATATTAGCTCTCACTCGGGCTCTTGCTTTGTTAAAAAAAGACTTTGTCATCGTCCCGTCCGTGTGTTTTCGTTTGATCCTGACTTGAATTCTCCATGCCTGTGTTTGTTGTTCTATATAGGCTTGGAGAAGGTCCCTGGCTTCTTGCTGTATGTCAGGTGTGGGGGAGTGGAGTGGGTCGTCCATAAGTTGCTCATCCCATTCTTCAAGATCCTTGATCATTTTTTCGAGAATAGCCTTTCGGTCCCTCGCGTGTTGGATAGAGAACTTTTTGGACCTTTCTCTCATATGTGCCACCCCCTCACTGAACCATTTCACTTTGTCCCCTGATACCGGTTTTTGGGTATGCCAATATTGCAAGAAGGTAGTGATGGTGTCTTTGTATCTTGTCAGGGGGAGCAGGGAAGTTTGAAAAAGTCCTGGCCCCCTCTGTAGGTGATTGTGCCAGGACAGACCAAGTGTAATCATTCTGTGATCGAAGGACTTGCACCGTTGCACGGGCTGATAGTTGTTATTTCTGTCGTTGTAACAAGGCCCACTATGTCCTTCGATACCAGCGTTAGGTCTATGCATGAGTTGGATAGGCCTCACTCTCCTCTAGATGACATACAAGTGTAGGCGCGTTGCGATCCGCCATGAGCTGTTTGAGCATGAGTACATCGGGGCCCACTCCGGTCTGCAGCAGAGCCCCATCTATCTGCATTTGTGTGGAGACCTGCATCTATGAAGAGGACCTGCGGTCCATAGCGGGGTCGAGAGTAGTGTTAAAGTCCCCAACTAGAATTTGAGGGGCATCATCTGGCAAGTGGTGTTGAAGAGAGAGGCTCAGCCAATTTTCAACCCTACTGATCAGGTCGTTTGGTGCATAAATATTAATCAGATAAAATTATTCTTCTTCAAATGCCACTTTGAGACATATCCACCACCCCTGCTGTTCATCCCTATCCAGGCTGACGGGCTTTAGCTTTGATGAAGGAGGGAGCCAGATTGCAACCCCTGTAGACGCCCTATCTCTGGCTGGTGCCGAGTAAGACGCATATGGCCATATGGATTTTGCTTTCGCGATGTGTTGGGGGGTGTCTTGTAGGTGTGTCTCTTGTACACAGACTGCATCTGGCCACGCCCCCTTGGCCGGACTTTTGATCGTATTCATGATCGCCTCTTTTTTATCCATTGATGCTTGGATAAGGCCGTTGACATTAAGGGAGCGGATGTCTATATCTGTCTGGGCTAGTTTGACTGCCCAGGGGGGTGGGCCCGGCGGCCTCTTGACACGTGGAAAGACCGGGGGGGTCGGGGGGCAATGCCTGGGCGGATGGGAGCGAGGAGGTGTGGTTTGATGGTGGCGGGGTGAGTGCTCCAGTCCCTCCGGCGAGGGTCGTGTCTTGCAATGGGAGTCCCGAAATTGCGTTGTTGGATAATTCGAGGTATGGCTAATCCCGTTGGTGTGCTGTAATTTGTTGCATTCTGCAGCTTCCTTTGGTCTGAGTAGGTCCATCCAGTTTTTTTTTTTTTTTTTTTCTTCTTTCGGGACCTTCAAGGCACGGTCTTAATTGGGAGGACACTTTGTGGGGCCTCCCAATGGTTGTGTTCCTCCAGGACGTTGTCTTCCAGGAGACCCTGCATAAAGATCAGGACTCTACTCGCAACCCAGGCGAAATTAGTCACAAACCTTGTTGTGGGGAGTTCCATCAGTTGATGGTGGTTGTACCACCTAAAGTCCATTCCTGTTTTGTGGGTCCCGGTTTTGTGATACAGCAACAGCAAGACCAGGATAATTCCACTAGGAAAGGGGAGTGTCTAACAAGCCCCTAAGAATCTCTTTTTTGCAGAGTGAAATTCTGATTCTTGGTTATCCTTAAAATTTGCCATGATTTGTTTGTCTTATGCCACCAGTTCACACAAGTCTAAGTTCACAAATGCTCACGAAGCTACCTTATGAACCTCGCAAGCTTGCGACTGCATGTTCTCAATGTGGTCTGCCACTTTTTCTAACGAGCCAGGCCCGAAGCCAAGAGATGTTACCACGTGTGCAGGAGCTAGGTCCAACTTGGCCAGATTCTTCATAGCTGGCCTTTTATCTCCATAATCTATATTCAGAAAGCGAGCTTCCGAGTAAGTGGAACTTGGTCCCGGTTAAGAGCACTACTTAGGTAAGTTAGGTTTGTGTGAACTGGTGGTTTATAAGAAATGAACATGACATTCATAGAGTGTTCATAGCTGACATAGAAGAGGCAAAACAATTTGAAATTGGATGTGTGGAAAAACATTGAATAGGTAACTACGGCGCAGTAAGAAAAACAGTTTGAAAATGCACGTCAGCCTCGTCAGGCAATTCCCAGAACATATCACACTCCCACCCAACCCCAGGGGGGCCCATAGCTAGCTTTAGTAGCTTGTATACATTTGACATTTTCAGGCCTTTTGCCTGATTCAGAAGTGCATTTTCAAACTTGAACCCTGAGTGCACCGCAGTAGTCTCGTTATTGAATAAGGCAGCCGTTCGTTTTTTCTTGGTGCATTGGGCATTACCGTGCTCTTGCTGAGTAACTTTTCTACGGGGCTGGGATTGCCCTCCGCACCAAAAAAAGATGATCCGGCGCGGGCCGTCTCCTTTTGGCTGACGCTGCAAGCCATTTGTCCCCGCAGGCCTAGCCCCAACAGTTGCAGCAGCATGCAAGCTGCACCTTTGAAAGAAATTTGTTATTGAAAAAAGATGTACCTAGGAGTCTAGGGCGCAGTCACGATTTGAGTTTTTTTTTTTTTTTTTTTTTTTTTT